GCTAGGCCATGTGCTCCCAAAAACATTTTTTACTTGCACTATGTAAGTTTACTTATTACATTCCAGTTTTGTATAATTGCCTGTATTCCCTACTCAACTGTAAGGACCAGCAGACCAATGACCATGTCTATCTTGCTCACACCGTATTGCCAGTATCTAGTAGTGCTGAATACAAGGTAGATATGCAATGAATATTCTGCTGAAAGCAATGAATGAGGCTGTATGCAAGATACTGTGCTCAGCAGGGAAATGGAGCAGATTGGAAGATAATAAAACTGGAACCCACAGTCTGTGGAGAAATGACATGGTAGACAGAAGGAGGCAAACTTTGCAAGGGCAGATGCTTCTGCAAACTGGGGAGAACCATTTAAGAAAAAATAATATAAAATTTTAATACAGGTTAGGCGCAGGGGTTCACGCCTGTAATCCCAGGACTTTGTTGAGGCTGACGTGGGTAGATCACCTGAGGTCAGGAGTTCGAGACCAGCTTGGCCAACATGGTGAAACTCTGTCTCTACTAAAAATACAAAAATAAGCCGGCTGTGGTAGCACACACCTGTATTCCCAGCTACTCAGGAAGCTGAGCCACGAGAATTGCTTGAACCCTGGAGGAGGAGGTTGCAGTGAGCCGAGATCATGCCGCTGCACTTTGGCTTGGGTGACAGAGTGAGACTCTGTCTTAAAATAAACAAATTTTAAAAATAAAATAAAATTATAAATACAAAATTAGGTACCTTGTCTTAGAAGAGGTTTGTGCAATTGAAGGGACTTGAAATTTAAGCTTCAATACCTTCACAGTAAATGCATCTCTGGTGATAAGTGGACAAATGTACTAACTACTGTGAAATCTCTAAAGATTGAGCAGAGATCTCAGCAAGGGAAAAATCAAGGTTTCACAAAAGAGATCAACTGTGAGCGTCATCTTACAGACAGAAACAAAGGACACAAACTGCAGGTGGAAGAAACGTGCTAGATCACCCCAGTGAGAAAAAGGCAGAATTTATCTCCAGAATAGTGAGAAATACTGTATGGTTGGTGTGGGTGACGATAGCCTTAAGATAGTGGTTCTCCGCGTGTGATCACGGCCAGCAGCATGGACATCAAAAGAAAATTTGTTACAACTGTGGCTACTCAGGCCTCGTGATCCACCTGCCTCAGCCTCCCAAAGTGCTGGGATTACAGGCATGAGCCACCATGCCCAGCCTATTTTATTTCTAACAAATTTATTTTCAGGCTGTTATACAAGATGGGGAGAAATGAAACAAAAGGACCATGCAGAGAAAGAGTTCTCTTCATCCCATATCCCGAAATAAATTACAGATAAAATAAAAAGTTAAAGCAGAAAATGCAACCAGATCTTGTGTAGAAGATTATCTCAGCAAAAGGCCAAAAGTAGAACTTGCAGAAGAAAAGATTAATAGACTCACTTTCACAACAATTTAAAATGTTTGTACCACAAACAAAATTAAAAAGCAAACAACAAACTACAAAGAAATATGCAGACTGGGTGTGGTGGCTCACACTCGTAATCCCAGCACTGTGGGAAGCTGAAGCAGGAGGATCACTTGAGTCCAGGAGTTTGGGACTAGCCCTGGCAACATAAGGAGTCCCGGTCTCTATAGAAAAATAGTAATTTTGAAATTAGCTAGGTGTGGTTGTATGGGTCCTGCAACCCCAGCTACTTGGGAGGCTGAGGTGGGAGAACTGCTTGAGCTTGGGAAGTCGAGGCTACAGTCAGCCCGCAGCACCATTCACTCCAGCGTGGACAGCAGGGCAGGACCTCATATCAAAAAAACCAAGAAGAGGCAAAAACAAACATGCAGCAGATATGACAATAAAAGTCTAAAAATTTTAATTTAAAAAGATGAATCACCTACAAAAAAAAAATGGGCACAGGACATAAACTGAAAATTCAGGAAAGAAATGCAAATGGCCAGCCAGGCGAGGTGGCTCAAGCCTGTAATCTCAGCACTGCGGGAGGCTGAGGAGGGGAGATCACCTGAGGTCAGGAGTTTGAGGCCAGCTTGGCCAACATGGTAAAACCCTGTCTCTGCTAAAAATACGAAAATCAGCCTCGTGTAGTGCAACGTGCCTGTAATCCCAGCTACTCAGAAGGCTCAGGCAGGAGAATCCCTGGAACCCAGGAGGCAGAGGTTGCAATGAGCTGAGATTGCACCATTGCACTCTAGCCTACCGAGACTCGGTCTCAAAAAAAAAAAAAAAAAAGTTAATAAGTACATCAGAAAATATTCCATTTCATACAAAAATAGGCATTATATGTATTAAAATGGAATAGCATATTTTACTTACCAAATTGGCAGAGCATTTTAAATAATGTCTACTGTTTAACTTATAGTGGTTTTAAGGTGCTATTAATACTTTAATAATATAAAGAATGCTCATGCTATACTAACTGGAAAAAAGAACCTGTTAGAAAAAAACACAACCAATATTCTAATTCTGAAAACAAATTTGTATGTCTGTATAAGTATAAAAATAACACAAAGGGCCAGGCGCGGTGGCTCAAGCCTGTAATCCCAGCACTTTGGGAGGCCGAGGCGGGTGGATCACGAGGTCAAGAGATAGAGACCATCCTGGTCAACATGGTGAAACCCCGTCTCTACTAAAAATACAAAAAATTAGCTGGGCATGGTGGCGCGTGCCTATAATCCCAGCTACTCAGGAGGCTGAGGCAGGAGAATTGCCTGAACCCAGGAGGCGGAGGTTGCAGTGAGCCGAGATCGGGCCATTGCACTCCAGCCTGGGCAACAAGAGCGAAACTCCGTCTCAAAAAAACAAAAAACAAACAAACAAAAAAAACCAGAAAGATGTAAAGCAAAATGCTACCATTGATTAGCTCAGGGTTGTGAGACCATGGTAAATTTACTTTTGCTCTTCGTACTTTCTATGGTCTCCATTATGTACTAAACTGTTTTCTCATCAGGAAGAAATTAAGTGGCCGGACGTGGAGGCTCGAGTCTGTAATCCCAGCACCCTGGGAGGCCAAGGCAGGCGGATTACTTGAGGCCAGGAGTTCAAGACCAGCCTGGCCAATATGGTGAAACCTCATCGCTACTAAAATACAAGTTAGCCGGTGTGGCGGCCGGTGCCTGTAATCCCAGTTAATCTGAAGGGTGGGGCACAAGAATCACTTAAACTTGGGAGGCAGAGGTTGCAGTGAGCCAATATCCCATCACTATACTGAAGCCCGGAACACAGAGTGAGACCCTGCCAAAGAAAAAAAAAAAAAGAAGAAAAGAAAGATTAAGTTATTCTACAAGTGTGTCAAAAAGTTGGAAGAATGATGTTTTAATAGCCCTGAGTCAAAATTTATAATAGTATTTAAGAAACTCTGCGGCTTGCTACTTTTGAGATTTTAGGATTTTGTCCCAGCTATCCCCTTCCCTTGGGGCGGGAGATGAGGAAAAGAGGGACCCAAACTGAAAAACACTCCAGCTAATCAAAGAACCTGAAATTGCTTGCAGTTGGTGATTATGTTAAACAACGTCATGCTCCTCTAAGTGCAAACAGTATGTGGGATGCTGGGGAGAGTGTGCGTTTACTTTCACTACAAAATGTTTTGGAGTAAAACTTCGTCTTAAAATATAAAGATTTTGTTTGACACAAGGCTGTGTGCGAACCACACAGTAAAACGGCGGCATGACACCCCCTTGTGGTTTCCACCGATTCCCAGTTCTGTGCTAGGTACTAAGTATTCTAGGATTCAAAAATGTCTCCACATTTCTTCTACTTTAATTCGTGAACATTCGTTTATTTGAGCCAAGTCCGACATAAAAATTAGGAGGTCATAAAAACTAGCCTCACAAACAAGCAGTGTCTCTTTCAAATACATACAGCTTTACCTTCTGGGAGATGGTGAAGGGATCGGAGTGAAGTCTGTGATGATTCCTCTCCAGCGATTGATGAGTTTATTGGCGTGTGGTTGTCAGAAAATGCAGTGGACGTGAATAAAGAGACCTCCTCGCAGCCCTGACCGTCCGAGTGACTTTGGGTACCTGACAATCCACGCAGCTTTCCGTCATCCTCTTAACCGTTTGGCGCTTAGGTTAAGACCCAGCCTTTAGCTTCTCCCACATTTACTTTTCTATTGCGTCAAGTGTGACTAGAAACCTCACCCCATTGTCAAAAGGATCGAATTAAACCCAGGACCACCGTTGCACAGCGAGGAACCACGTGAAATTTATTTACGCTCCCGTAATTCCATCATTTCTACAGCTGGCCAGAGAAGGTCCAAGTCGGGAAAGGACTTAAATCGTCGAGTCCAGTCCCCGTAACTCCACATTCCCTGCAGTATTTCCCGGGCCAAGGAGCCGCGCGAGGCCGGCGCCAGCTCAAGCCTTCGGTGTCACCCTCTCGCCCTGAGGGCGGCACCCCAGCCTGGGGCGGTTCTCCCGCGGGGCCGCAGTCAAACCGCGACGCGGTCCTCAGCCTCTTGGTCCCCACAGGGGCGCACTCCGGGTCCCGAGCCGCAGGCCGCGGGCGCAGTCCGGGGTCTGAGGCGCCCTCTGCCTCGCCCGCCCGGCAACACCGCGGCGTCCTTCCCCCGGAGGAGAGCGTGGGAAAGGGGCCGCCGCGCGCCGCGTTTCTCCCACTTCCCCCGGGTGCGAGGGGCCGCTGGAGGCGTGGCGTCCCGGGCCGCCGGGCGCGGAGCGGTCCCGAGGATGGGCTCACCCTCGGGGCGCGGGAGGGGCGCTTCCCCGTCCGGAAGGGGCCGGCGGCGGCGCGAGGCCTCCGGCAGGGGGCGCGAGCCGCTGGGCCTCCCCCGGGGCTGCGGGCCGGTGGTCGCTCCCAGGCCGCGTGTGCGGGGCGTTCGCGCGGCCCGCGCCCTGCCCCCACCTCGCCCCGCCGCGTCCCCGCCCTCTCGCGGGCCCCTGAGGTGCGCGGCGCAGGCGCGGAGCGGGGCGGCGAGGGCGCGGCGGCCGCGGAGCCTAGGCCGGGGTCCGCGCGGAGTGCAGCCCGCCCAGCGCCGCGTCCGGGAGGGAAGGGCCGCGCCGCCCTCGCCCGCCTCGGGCACCTCGGCCGCCGCCGCCTCTGCGCTGCGCCTGGGCCGGCCCGGCGGGCCCCGGGGGACTGACGGGTGAGTGCGCGGGAGGCGCGGGCGCCGGGGGCTGCAGGGCCGCGGCGTGCGGGCGTCGCTTCCAGCGGGAGGGCGCGGGCGAGGCCGGAGCCCCCCGACGCGGAAAGCGCCTTCGTGAGACGGCGGGGGCTCCCCGCCCCCGGGGGCGGTTCCGGCTCCTGCGCGGGACGCCTCGGCCCCGCCGCCTGGTCTGGACCGAGTCTTTGCGGTCGGGGCTGGGGGATCTCGGCGCGGGCTGCGGGGCGCGGGCGGGGCGGGTCCCGGGCGCCCCTCGTCCCTGCCGGCGCTGCGGCCCTGCCCGGCGGCTCCGTGGCCTCCGGCGGCGCCTCCCCGGGCTCGCGCAACGGCCGTGGCCGCCGAGGGCCGCGCCGAAGCCGGCGCCCGAAGCGTCCGGCCGAGAGTCGCCCGCGCCTGGGGAAACCCTCTTTTGGTTTTGCTTTTAAGTGCAGTCGGGGGAAACCAGGGATGTGGAGCCGTTAATACCTGTTTTACACAGAGAGGTTTTTGTGCCGGACTGACAAGTGGCCAATGAAATTGTCAGCGGCCGTGCGGTGTTTCGGGAAAGTGCCGCCAAGTGGGACGCGGAGTGGGTTCTAGCTCAGCCTCTCCTGCAACGTGTTTCTTTTCAAATTTAAAGCATATGCTCATTTTTATGAGAACGAAAAGGAAAGTTTAACTACTTTAAAATGGAGTTAGTAACTGTGAAGCCGTCTTATACCAATTAGAACACACATTGCATGAAAGGCCTTTTAAAACGTTGATTCATTTGATAATTGCTGACTTGTTGGTTGAAAAAAATGACATGTGGAAAGATACTGACATGTATTAAGGTGCCTTTTTTGGAAAAATGTCTCATGTGGCACGATTCCCTTTTCATAAATGTAAAAAAGAAAAAAAAATAGTATATATAGAGAGAGATCTTAGCACAAGAAAAATGCTGTTAACGGTGGGTTTTCTGGGTAAATAGTCTAGGTGATATAAAATTTTTTAAACATTTTTTTCTGATATTCCTCCTGACACATGTTACATACGTCGTTTGTGTTTAACTTGGAGGCGAAGGGAGGAAGGAGAACTGTGTGATAAGTTGCTTATGATTCCGAATCTTCCTGCTAAGAAGACTAGTGAGTGACCGGGCGCGGTGGCCGAGGCAGGCAGATCACAAAGTCAGGAGTTAGAGACCAGCCCTGGCTAACATGGTGAAACCCTGTCTCTGCTAAAAATACAAAAAGTAGCGGCGTGGTGACAGGCACATGTAATCCAGCTACTGGGAGGCTGAGGCAGGAGAATCCCTTGAATCTGGAAGGCAGAGGTTGCAGTGAGCAATCGCACCATTGCACTCTAGCCTGGGCGACAGAGCGAGACTCAGTCTCAATTTGTAAAAAAAAAAAAAAAAAAAAAGACTATTGACCAAATCTTTCTGACATCCTTGAGTTCCGGGTGCGGTGGCTCACACCTGTAATCCAAGCACTTCGGGAGGCTGAGGCGGGCATATCACCTGAGGTTTGGAGTTCTAGGCCAGCCTGACTAACATGGAGAAACCCTGTCTCTACTAAAAATACAAAATTAGCCGGGCATGGTGGCGCATGCCTGTAATCCTAACGACTGGGGAGGCTGAGGCAGCAGAATCGTTTGAATCCGGGAGACGGAAGTTGCGATGAGCCAAGATCACGCCATTGCACTCTAGCCTGGGTAACAAGAGCAAAACTTCGTCTCAAAAAGAAGAGAAAAAGACTAGTGAGATCGTGCGCAGTGGCTCACACCTGTAATCCCAGCACTTTGGGAGGCCCAGGCGGGAGGATCACGAGGTCAAGATATCAGGACCATCCTGGCCAACATGGTGAAACCCCATCTCTATTTAAAAAAAAGAAAAGGAAGACTAGTGAGCAAATGTTTCTGACATCCTTGAGTAAAAAGCTAAATTTTTTTCACGGCTGTTGTGCACACAAAAGGCACATAAAAATGTTTGTTAAAATGAAGGATGGTTAGCACTTTTGATCTTGAGTAGTCATCTCACCATCATGCTGAAAGGAAGTCCGATAGACATTTGGATATTCTTCGGCCCCGAAGTAGGAGTCAAACCCTTCCTGATCCATGTGACCCTGCTCCTCTCACCTGAGGGCCTGAATCCAGGCCAGCTTGCAACATTAGTTTTAACAACACACTTGCTTTCCTTTTTTTACTTTTATTCTTCAAGTTCTAAAGAACTTGAAATGTATTCTAAAATAACAAGAGACTACTAAGCATGTGCTCCTGACAGTTTTCAGTGTTCTGACACTTGTAGAGTATTTAGAACATGAAGTGTGAAGTTTGGGCTATATGAATCCTGGAAGTATACAAAAGCAGTATTAATAAGTCTTGAGGTTTTAGTTTATTACATAAAGATGGAAACAGCTCTTCTCTTTTTAATTTTTGAGTGCAGTGAATTGGAATGGTTACTGAAGGAATGACTGCTTATGTTGTTAGGTGAGGCATTTTATATATTGATATCATTTCTGTACATTTCATGGTTGACGGCTTCTTTAGGCTGTTCCCTTCCTCTTCTCCCAAGTGGTAGCTAAGAGCTGGGAGCAAGATGTAACTTGCTAGTGACAGTGATTAGCAGTGAAAATATACTCACATAGTGTTGGTTATTTAGTGCCCAGGGGTCAGAACACATGCATTTTCATCTCGGGTTCTCCCACTTGGTAGTTGACCTAACTTTCACTAAGGCTCTTCCCGCCTCAGTAAAAGTGTAAATGGGTTTTATAGTAACCCCTCTATGTACCTCACGGGACTGTTTTGAAGATGAAATAGAATAAGCGTTAGGAAAATGCTTGGTAAACTGAAAAGCACTATCTCATTCCCTGCTGTATTATCATATCACTTTACTGCTGATATACCCAGAGCTTAATGAAGAAGCAAAAATAGTATGTACACCTCAACTAGAACACCTGTCATGTATCACTATGGGTTAAACGCACTGTACACTGGGCGCAGTGACTCATACCTGTAATCCCAGCACTTTGGGAGACCGAGGTGGGCAGATTGCTTGAGGTTAGGAGTTTGAGACCATCCTGGCCAATGTGGCGAAACCCCATCTTTACTAAAAATACAAAAATTAGCTGGATGTGGTGGCGCCCGCCTGTAATCCCAGCCACTCAGAAGGCTGAGGCAAGAGAATCACTTGAACCAGGGAGGCAGAGGTTGCACTGAGCCAAGATCGCACCACTGCACTTCAGCCTGGGCAACAGAGCTAGACTCTTTCTCAAAAAGAAAAAAAAAAGCAGTGTATAAAATTGGTGGAGAAAACTTAACAATACGTTTCTATTTCTAACATTTCTTATCTGCCCACTGCTTCAGTGGGAAGAACAATAACCTGAGACACTACTCAACCTGAGCTGGGGTGGTCACCTTATTTCCCTATTTATTTCCAAAAATAAAAGGAATTGAATGTATGGGCTTTAAAATTGAATAGACCGGCCAGATTCAGTGGCTCACACCTGTAATCCCAGCACTTTGGGAGGCCGAGGCGGGCAGATTGCTTGCAGTCAGGAGTTCGAGACCAGCCTGGCCAACAAGGCAAAACCCCATTTCTACTAAATATACAAAAATTAGCCAGGCATGGTGGCGTGCATGTGTAGTCCCAGCTACGCGGAAGGCTGAGGCATGAGAATCACTTGAACCCAGGGGGCGGGGATTGCAGTGAGCCAAAATCGCATCGCTGCACTCCAGCCTGGGTGAGAGAGCAAGACTCTTTCAAATAAATTAATAAGTAAAATTGGGTAAACTTTTATTCAAATCTCAACCACAGCATTTATTGAGTATCCAGCTTTGACTTAACTTTGCTGCGCCTGTTTCCTCATCAATAACAAGAAGTGAGTAATGATTTTGAGACGGTGTAGAGACAGGATTTCACCATTTTGGCCAGGCTGATCTTGATCTCCTGACTTCGGGTGATCCTCCCACCTTGGCCTCCCAAAGTGCCGGAATTACAGGCATGAGCCACTGTGCCCAGCCACTTTTGTTTCTTAAATCTGTAAGGACTGTAACAGTTTAAAGTTTCTTAATTTGGGCCAGGCGGGGTGGCTCACGCCTGTAATCCCAGCACTTTTGGAGGCCGAGGCAGGCGGATCACCTGAGGTCAGAAGTTTGAGACCAGCCAGGCCAACACGGTGAAACCTTGTCTCTGCTAAAAATAAAAAAATTAGCATGGTATGGTGCCACGTGCCTGTAATCTCAGCTATTCGGGAAGCTGAGGCAGGAGAATCGCTTGACCCTGGGAGGCAGAGTTTGCAGTGAGTTGTAATTGTGCCATTGCACTCCACCTTGGGTGACAAGAGCAAAATTCCGTGTCAAAAACAAAAAGTTTGTAAATTTGGTTTGCTTTCATTATGCTTGCTTTCCTTATGGATAAATAAATTAATTCAGATTCATATTCCTATTTTGGTGTCAAAAGATTTAACTGTAGGCCAGGGTGAGACTCTGTCAAAAAAAAACTATAGAAGGTAAATCATTTCAATAAATGTAGAAATGTACATGTAATCACATATTTGTCAGTATATAATATATGCAGTTTTTAGTACATAGTATATTATATTCAAAGTAATATACCTTAATTAGTTCTGTATAACTTTCCAATTGATTAAAGACCTGGTACCATTATATTAGTCAGTACTAGAAATAAGCTACATTTTTGCTTACTGCCTTCTTTCATGTTTTACTTACAGGCATTTTTTACCATCTGTAGAAACTTATTGTAATTCGTTTTTCCTCGCTTCAGTAGTAAGAATTATACCACGTAAGTGAACCGTTTTGAAACTAATTTATTTTAATTGGACAGTGGTTGCTGCATCTGTTGTGTTATCGGTGGAATGTTGAATGTCACCTCATAAATAGGAAAATGATTTTCTTCTTGAAAATTATTTATATGCTGATGTTGTATGTGATAAGTACTTTTTCTCTGGAAACCAGGAGGCTGATACATATTTGTGACAGTTTTTTTTTTTTTTTTTTTTAAATAAAGACAGGGTTTCACCATGTTGGTCAGGCTGGTCTTGAACTCCTGACCTCAGGTGATCTGCCCGCCTTGGCCTCCAAAGTGCTTGGATTAACAGGCGTGAGCCACTACGCCCGGCTGACAGTATCTTTTTTTTTTTACAAAAATTTTCTGTTTTTTTTTTTTGAGATGGAGTTTCGCTCTCGTTACCCAGGCTGGAGTGCAATGGCCCGATCTCTGCTCACCGTAACCTCCGCCTTCTGGGTTCAGGCAATTCTCCTGCCTCAGCCTCCTGAGTAGCTGGGATTACAGGCACGCACCACCATGCCCAGCTAATTTTTTGTAGTTTTAGTAGAGACGGGGTTTCACCATGTTGACCAGGATGGTCTTGATCTCTTGACCTCGTGATCCACCCGCCTCGGCCTCCCAAAGTGCTGGGATTACAGGCTTGAGCCACTGCGCCCGGCCCCGACAGTATTTTTTTTAAAGGAAATGTCTCCACCTTTAGTTTGAAAACTGCATGAAAATATTTCCAATGATAGGAAATGTGCCGATAAAACTCCTAATATATATATAACATATATATATATTATATAATGTATATATATACATACGTATGAATGTATATATATACATGAAACATTGTGCCTATGGCACACATACACAAAATTATTTCAGCATGTGGTTTATTGTAATTATCCAGGCCTCACAATTTGTATCAACATTTGAAACATAATTTTTTAAACCTCTGTAAGAAAGAAAACAGAAATCAGTTTCTACCTTGAAACCTGATTGGAAAAACAATCTGAAATACAAACAGAGGCATTGTTTAACATTTTTCTTATACCGTAGGTTTTCAGATGGCTCACATATTTCTTATTGCCAATGAATTATTCAGTTAGAATTTTTATAACAGCATTAACAGTTGTTATTTGTGACATATTTGTTAATTTTTTTTTTCATTTTTTAGACTGAAAAGATATGAATGAGTATCCTAAAAAAAGAAAAAGGAAGACTCTACACCCTTCTCGTTATTCAGGTAAGTGTATAATTAATTTATTTTAAATTGAGTATGAATTCCCACAAAATTATATTCCCTTTCTCCTAAGTGATCAAATGAGACTTAAATGCCTGGGTCAATTTTTAGGTAAAAGAACGGTTTAAATACATTCTCTGAGTATATATTCCTTATTGTCTACCATGTGCTAGCCATACATAAGAACTTTATAGACATTATTTCATTCCTCACAGCTCTATGGGTTATAAATATTTAAAATTAGATAGCCAAGGTTATTTACTTATACAGCATAATTGGGGTTTGCATGTCTGATTCCTAAGCTCTGCTTAAGACACAATGATAACAATTTCTGTAGAAAGTATTTTACGTTATTGGGGAAAAAAGACATTCTCTTCTCTATTACTTTTGGAAATGGAAACTTTCTAATTTTTTTTTCTTGATATAGAGTCTTGCTCTATAGCCCAGGCTGGAGTGCAGTGGTGCAATCTTGATTCACTGCAACCTCTGCCTCCTGGGTTCAAGCAATTGTTCTGCCACAGCCTCTCGAGTAGCTGGGATTACAGGCACGCACCACTGTGCACGGCTAATTTTTTGTATTTTTAGTAGAGATTGGGTTTCACCATGCTGGCCAGGCTGGATGACTGTGTAATTTCAGATCCTTTGATTGAGATTGGCTCTGCTGTGTTGGTAGTATAAGAAAAGGGGTCTTTGTGGCCATCTCTAACTAATACACCTCGCATACATTTACTTGGGACAGTCTCAGTCGTGCCTGTTAGTCTACCCAGCCTAGACATTCTTAATATCTAAGGAAATTAAGCCTGGTATACTGCTTACTGGCCCTCCCTAGACAAGACTTGAAATGACTATATTCATAAGCCCTAAGTAGTCCTCACCATTTCCACTACATAATAACCTTTATCTGCATGATGGCACACCTTCCTGGTGGTCCACTGTTTGGTGCAGTTAATACAGTGTTTATCATATATTTTTTATTTTATGTGATTCTGAGTATAAAGCAAATGTATCCTTGTGTATTTCAAAGTTGTGTTTTAAAGTATATAATTCGTGATTCTTTCAAAGCCCAATGTCAGTATCAGATCTGAAATATAAAAGCTTTAAAAGTTGAAAATATGTAGTATTTTCGTTACAGGGGCTATAATTAACATCATGAACATTTGTATATGACAGATGATGGGAAGTTTCTCATTAAATGTGTATGTTTACTGTGCTTAAAATATTTTTCATTTTGTTTTATGTTCAGATTCCTCTGGAATAAGCAGAATTGCAGATGGATTCAATGGAATTTTTTCTGATCATTGTTACAGTGTCTGTTCTATGAGACAGCCAGATTTAAGATATTTTGACAACAAAGGTATATCTAATATTTTTGAAAATGTTTCTTAAAACTGCTTTTACGTTTTTTATTTCTTCCTTGAAAATGTTGGTTAAACGTGGATTGAAGTCTTTGAAACTTGTTACAATGTAAGAAAACAAAGTTTTATTTTTTTAGAAAGCAAGTAATTTTTTTTTTTTTTTTTTTGAGACAGTATTGCTCTGTTGCCCATGGTGCAGTGGCTTGATCTCGGCTCATTTTAACCACCACCTCCTGGGTTCAAGCAATTCTTCTGCCTCAGCCTCCTGAGTAGCTGGGACCATGCCCAGCTAATTTTTGTATTTTTAGTAGAGACGGGGTTTCACCATGTTGGCCAGGCTGGTCTCGAACTCCTGATCCCAGGTGATCTGCTCACTTCCACCTCCCAAAGTATTGGGATTACAGGCGTGAGCCATGGTGTCTGGCCATAATTTTCACTTTTAACATTATTTCCAACATATAAATAAAAAAGTGTACTCTTCTAAGTCCATTTTTTTTTTTTTTTGAATGAGGGGTGATTGCGGGGAGACAGTCTTCATTCTGTCACCCAGGCTGAATGCAGCCATGTCTCACTCTGTGGATCATGGCTCATTGCATTCTCGACCTCTTGAGCTAATGCCATCCTCCCACTCATGCTTTTCAGTAGCTGGGACTACAGACATGTACTACCACACCTGACTATTTTTAAAAATTTTTTTGTAAAGACAAGGTCTTGCTATATTGCCCAGGCTGGTCTTGAACTCCTGACCTCAAATAATCCTCCCATGTTGGCCTCACAAAGTGCTAAGATTACAGGTGTGAGCCATCATGCTTAGCCCTAAATCCACTTTAGTTGGTTAGGAATTGGTAGCAAAGCAGGAGTGACCCAGAATTGGGAGCATTTATGTTGAAAGGTTAAGAGTAGTGTTAGACACAGTTCTACTCAGCTATACCGCACAGTGTGGAAGGAAAGAACAGAGGGTGATTTGGTATTTTTCAATCTTACATCTTCTGTTGGCTCCTCTATTCTAAAGCATTGGTGAATGATTACAACTTACAACTTGCACTTAATCATCATCGTCTGCAACCAGATTGTCCCAGTTCCCTTGAGCTCCCGTTAGAGGCACCGAAATATAAATTACAGAAAACATGTAGAGTTGGAGACATCAGTATGAATTTATGTTTAGCTGCATACTTGTGGCCATCCATGCTTATAGATACATATGTATATATATGTGGCACTGTACACACACACACACACACACACACACACACACACACACACACACTTTTTGCTGTCAGCGGAGAGGGCCTAAAAGAAACGACACCCAGAAGCAGTGAGCTTGAGCACATTTAGTGCCCAGGTCTTGGTTTCTAATGCCATTCCCTAGTAAAAAGAACTAGGCCTTTTTGGAGAAATGGCTGATTCTAGGTCTGGAGCAGGAAATATACAAGAACCTGGAGCATCTTGTAGTGCTGGGAAATAGGGAAGTACTTTAAAAAACCCCAAACACACACGCTTGACAGGGGCATGCTGAAGGAGCACAAGTCAACTTAAGGAGCTCCCGGTAGCCAAGACTGAAAACTATTTGAGTTATAACCCAGAGTTTGAAATAAATATCCCTGAATTCATGCTGTTGTAAATTATTAGATAGAGAAGAAGAGGCCGAAAAATTCCAAATTATTAGACTTGATCTTAGCCAAAAGGCCAAAAGCAGTAAAACTCCAAATTATTTATGTAGTTATTCCTCCTTCTAGGAGGTGGAACATAACCGCACTCCTTAAGTATGGACTGCACATAGTGACTTCCTTACAAGGGGTTAAGTATGGAAAGTAAAATGCACAACTTTGTAGTTTTCAAACCTGATAACTACTTAGCCAGGTGATCAAGATCAACATCTGCAATCATCAATCACGTTGGTAGTATGTGCCCTTGGTAAGAAGTGAGGAAAATGGCGATTTACCTCTGTGCTGTCTCCCGGTAACCCGTAATTCCAGCCTAATCATTTAACGAAAAGAAAAACAGACAAATTCCATTGTCAAGGCATCCTACAGAATACCTGATGAGTACTCCTCAAGGGCTGAGAAACTGCCACGGCCAACAGTAGCCTAGAGAGACATGATTCCTTAAGGTAATGTGGTATCTTGGAACAGAAAAGGGACATCAGGTACAAACTAAGGAAATCAAGATGACTTTATTGGCTTTATTAATAAGATATCAGTATTGACCATTAATTGCAACAAATGTGCCCTACTAATGTTAGATATTAGTAGTGGGGAAACTGGGACCTCTCCATATTATCCTCTCAGATTTTTCTGTGATTGTAAAACTATTCTAAAAAATAAAGTCTATTTTAAGAAAACATGATGGATGGGCTGGGTGTGGTGGCTCATACCTATAATCCCAGGTCTTTGGGAGGCCAAGGTAGGAGGATCTACTTAAGGCCAGGAGTTTGAGGCCAGCCTGGACAATGTGGCAAGACCCCATCTCAAAAAAGAAATGTTTACCTGGGCTTGGTGGTATATGCCTGTAGCCCTAGCTACTCAGAAGGCTGAGGCTGAAGGACCCCTTGAGCCTAGGAGTTTGAGGCTGCAGTGAGCCACGATCATGCCACTGTACTCCAGCCTTGATGGACAGAGTAAAACCTCATTCCCCCAAAAATGTTGAAGCCCAGTTTTCACTATTAACCGGTATTTCAGTTTCCCAGTGTTAACTTTGAAACACCAGGGCTGGCCTGAGGGTATAAAGGCTTATTCAAACTCAGTAATTTAAACAGAATCCTAAGGAATTTTAAGAAGTGTAACTAGTTCAAATGGGGCATCAATTCAAAAGCATTTGCGTGTTTGAGCAGATTTTCTGTGTGTCTGAAGTCTATAGATAACTTCTCTTTTTATGACTAAATACAAGTCCTCAGTTACTGTTGGAATTCAAAATTATATTTAAAAAATTGATGCTCTGTTGTATGTTAATGCTTTGATTATATAAATAATAAGTACTCTTCCAAATCTCTTTTTACAGATGATGATTCTGATACCGAGACATCAAATGACTTGCCAAAATTTGCAGATGGAATCAAGGCCAGAAACAGAAATCGGAACTACCTGGTTCCCAGTCCTGTACTTAGAATTCTAGACCACACTGCCTTTTCCACAGGTTGGGGGCTAATTGCATTGATGTATTTTGTATTGATGAATTTTTAAAAAGTATACACAATAAATTTCTTTTTGCCAGGTTGTGTTTGTCTAACAGATCTTATTGAGTCATAGTCATATAATAGGTTTGTTTTATTCTTCAGAAAAATCTGCTGATACTGAAATTTGTGATGAAGAGTGTGACTCACCTGAATCAGTCAACCAACAAACCCAAGAGGAGAGTCCAATAGAAGTTCACACTGCTGAAGATGTTCCAATCGCTGTAGAAGTGCATGCAATTTCGGAGGATTATGATATAGAGACAGAAAACAATTCTTCTGAGAGTCTCCAGGACCAAACTGATGAAGAACCACCAGCTAAACTTTGTAAAATTCTTGACAAAAGCCAAGCTTTGAATGTGACTGCCCAGCAGAAATGGCCTTTACTGAGAGCTAATAGCAGTGGCCTCTATAAATGTGAACTTTGTGAGTTTAACAGCAAATATTTTTCTGACTTAAAGCAGCATATGATCCTGAAGCATAAACGTACTGATTCAAATGTGTGTCGAGTATGCAAGGAAAGTTTCTCTACCAATATCCTTCTGATAGAACATGCCAAACTACATGAAGAGGATCCCTACATTTGTAAATACTGTGATTATAAGACAGTAATTTTTGAGAACCTCAGCCAGCACATTGCAGACACCCATTTTAGTGATCACCTCTATTGGTGTGAACAGTGCGACGTGCAGTTCTCCTCCAGCAGTGAGCTCTACCTGCATTTCCAGGAGCACAGCTGTGATGAACAGTACTTGTGTCAGTTCTGTGAACATGAAACGAATGATCCCGAAGACCTGCACAGCCACGTGGTAAACGAGCACGCGTGTAAATTGATAGAGTTAAGTGATAAGTATAACCATGGAGAGCATGGACAGTATAGCCTCTTGAGCAAAATTACCTTCGACAAATGTAAAAACTTCTTCGTATGTCAAGTATGTGGTTTTCGGAGTAGACTTCACACAAATGTTAACAGGCATGTTGCTATCGAACATACTAAAATTTTTCCGCATGTTTGTGATGACTGTGGGAAAGGCTTTTCAAGTATGCTAGAATATTGCAAGCATTTAAATTCACATTTATCTGAAGGCATTTATTTATGTCAGTATTGTGAATATTCAACAGGACAAATTGAAGACCTTAAAATTCATCTAGATTTCAAGCATTCAGCTGACTTACCTCATAAATGTAGTGACTGCTTAATGAGGTTTGGAAATGAAAGGGAATTAATAAGTCACCTTCCAGTCCATGAGACAACTTGATTATTCTCTTTAACTTACAGAACATTAGTGTAAAATAATAAATAACAACCTTTTTTTGGAGATGATTAAGTGGATGATTGTAAACAAAACAAAACTTATGAAATTTGCCTTTAACAAGTAATTTTTTTAATTATAAATTTTCTTGTCATTGCCCCATTTTCAGTATATAAATATATCTTAAATGTGTTTTTTTTTTTTTTTTTTTTTTTTGAGATGGAGTTTCGCTCTTGTTACCCAGGCTGGAGTGCAATGGCGCGATCTCGGCTCACTGCAACCTCCGCCTCCTGGGTTCAGGCAATCCTCCTGCCTCAGCCTCCTGAGTAGCTGGGATTACAGGCACACGCCACCATGTCCAGCTGATTTTTTGTATTTTTAGTAGAGACGGGGTTTCACCATGTTGACCAGGATGGTCTCGATCTCTTGACCTCATGATCCACCCGCCTCGGCCTCCCAAAGTGCTGGGATTACAGGCGTGAGCCACCGCGCCCGGCCAAATGTGGTAATTTCATTGCGTGATACCTTGTAGTTTTAACCACTCTCAGTAACTTTAATCCTGTTTCTTGAATGTGGTCTGATTTCATGAGTTGAAAAGGACCAAATGCCCGAAAGAAATGAGCTACAGTTTTCTTCCTTAACTTTAACATGGGTGCTGTTGACTTTTTAAAACCCAAAAGATTAGTTTTTTGTGTATGAAGTCATTAAATTATTACACGACCAGAACTAAAATGCAATATACAATTAAGTTCACAGATACTCCCAATAAGAAATGGCACTAGGAAGCCAATATTATCACGGAAGAAAAGATTTGGTTTTCATGGCAGTCTGTTTAAAAAAAAAATTTTTTTTTGAGCCCTTATTTATTTGTTGAATATTTTAAATGGGAGTAGGGAGGAACTAATAAGGGCTTAGACAATTTAAAAAAAAAAAACTCTCATGACTCATTCATAACTTGGTGACATTTCATTTTCTGTTGAGGAAGCATTTAACATTTTTTTCTTAGAGACAGGGTCTCCTTCTGTTGTCCAGGTTGGAGTACAATGCTTGATCATAGCTCACTGTAATCTCCAGGGCTCAAGGAATCCTCCCACCTCAGCCTCCTGCATAGCTGGGCCTACAGGCATGTGCCACCATGCCTGCTGTGTTTTTTAATTTCTTGTCGAGATGAGGTCTCGCCGTGTTGCCCAGGCCATTCGCAAACTCCTGGTCTCAAGCAATCCTCTGACCTTGGCCTTCCAAATCCCTAGGATTATAGGCATGAGCCATTATGCCTGACTGTGGCCCAAATTTCTGATATCATATTGTTTATTAATAGAAAATCCACTGAAGTATTTAAAGTTAGGAAGATTTGGGATATTAGGGGTTGCTGGCATGAAAATGTGTTACTTACAATATTTGTCAATAAAATGATAAATTAACCTTAATATTAGTTCCTATGGCTGCCTTAACAAATTACTACAAACTGCATTGTCTAAGTAGCAGAAATTGATGGTCTTCTCGGTTGTGGAGACCAGACATTCAAAATGCAGTTATTGGCGGAGTTGGTTCCTTTTGAGGGTTGTGGGGGAAGGATCTGGTTCATATCTGTCTTTGGCTTGTAGATGGATAGCCTCCTGTTCACATGGTGTCCTCCCTGTATGTTAGTCTGTCCCCAAATTTCCTTTTTTAATGTTTTTTATCTTTTGAGATGGAATTTCTCTCATCGCCTAGGCTGAAGTGCAATGACGCGAACTCGGCTCACTGCAACCTTCACCTCCCAGGTTCAAGCGATTCTCCTGCATCAGCCTTCCAAGTAGCTAGGATTACAGGCGCCCACCACCACACCGGCTAATTTTGTATTTTTAGTAGAGATGGGGTTTCACCACATTGGCCAGGCTGGTCTCGAACTCCTGACCTCAGGTGATCCACCACCTCCCAAAGTGCTGGGATTACAGAATTATGGGTGTGAGCCACCCATGCCTGGCCAGATTTCCTCTTGACTCCAGTCATACTGGATTAGGACCCCTCCCAAGATCTCTTTTTAGCTTGAAGAGCAGATCTCCAAATAAGGTCATATTCTAAGGTGCTGAGGTTTAGGACTTCAACATATGAATTTGGGAGGGAACACAGTTCAGTAGTAGAGTCTGAAACAGCAGTATGAAGAAGATAGAATTATACGTATCACGGCCCTCAAATTTAACAAGCATTGCTAACTATTATTCTCCAGGTTTATTGGTATAAGCGGAAGATCAATTTATGACCAGTGGTTTTCCCACTTCAAGAATTTAGTCTGTTTTGGCTGAGCTGGGTGGCTCACCCCTGTAATCCCAGCACTTTGGGAGGCCGAGGCGGGCAGATCACAAGGTCATGAGTTTGAGACCAGCCTGGGCAACATGGTGAAACCACATCTCTACTAAAAGTACAAAAATTAGCCAGGCGTGGTGGTGGGTGCCTGTAATGCCAGCAACTTGGGAGGCTGAGGCAGGAGAATCGCTTGAACCTGGAAAACAGGTTATAGTGAGCCAAGATTGCACCACTTCACTCCAGCCCGGGCAAAAGAGCAAAACTCCATCTCGAAAAAAAAAAAAAAAAAGAATTTAGTCTGTTTTGACAATGGTGACTGCAAGTATTCTTAGAAGGTATTATTTTTATCCCCACTATTTAGTTGTATGTGCATGCCTGTGTTCCTAGCAACTCACATTCCATCTAATCATAACATTCCTGACAGGGCTGTCTGATACAAGTGTTTCTCAGAAGACTTAAAATTGTAACAGTTTAAATTGTAAGATAACCTTAGAAAGCCTCTGGTATAAACCCTCTAGTTTTCTAAGCTTCTAGCAGAAATAGGAATGTAGGCCGTTAACTGGTATATATAACCAGTTACACGGCATATGGGAGTGGACCCAGGTTGTCTGGTTTAGTGGCATTTCCGTTACACTGTGCTATGAAAACCTGACGTTTGTCCTTAGGATGTTTTTTGTGACTACTTCACCTAACCTAGTTGACCTAGTTCTTGACAATTTTGTTTTTATGCTTTTTACACATCCAGCTCCGGGAACTGGATTTTCATGAAAAACACCTTAAGTAATGCCTTGGTTGTTTTTGTTTTTGTTTTTTTTAATCTATGTTACTGCTTTACATTTTGATCAGGTGTTAATAATCGAAGAGATTGCAATGCAAGTACTCCAGAGACATAAATCCAAGTTTTAGAACCATCTAATTTTGTACTTTTTGATGAATCTGCAGCTTAAGGACCTTTCCCAATAACAGTTTCTCCCACAAAAACTTTTTGCTTTGGCCCAGTTTTCACATCAATGATTGACCATAAATTGCTTGAAGTAGTTGGTATTTATTTACTTATTTTTGTTGAGACATAAATATATACATACGCACATACCAACTACTTGCTCTGTTTCCCAGGCTGGAGTGCAGTGGTGCCATCTCGGCTTGCTGCAGCCTCTGCCTCCTGGGTTCAAGTGATTCTCCCACCTCAGCCTCCTGAGTAGCTGGGATACAGGCGCCCACCACCACACCCAGCTAATTTTTGTAATTTTAGTAGAGATAGTGTTTCACCATCTTGGCCAGGCTAGTCTTGAACTCCTGACCTGTGATCCACCCACCTTTGCCTTGCAAAGTGCTGGGATTACAGGCGTGAGCCACTGAGCCCACCCAGTCTTTATTTTTACCTTGATGAACTTTGGAAAAACAAACCTACCTAAAGAAATTAACACTCCTAGTTTTGTTTTTGTTTGTTTTACTTCAGAGACAGACATTTCCACTGTAGTCTTGTGACTTGCAACACAATTCAAGTCTGAGATAGCCTAAGTGATGATGTTTATTAACACTTCAGTAGAATTCTTGGCAGGAGTGAACAGTAGTGACAGGTCATTATTGTTTTTCTTGCTATTTTAAATCTTAACCTTACACGGGGCGTGGTGGCTCGTGCCTGTAATCCCAGCACTTTGGGAGACCAAGGCGGACAGATCACAAGGTCAAGAGATTGAGACCATCCTGGCCAACATGGTAAAACCCCGTCTCTGTTAAAAATACAAAAATTAGCCAGGCGCGGTGGCTCAAGCCTGTAATCCCAACACTTTGGGAGGCCGAGGCGGGTGGATCACGAGGTCAAGAGATCGAGACCATCCTGGTCAACACAGTGAAACCCCGTCTCTACTAAAGCTACAAAAAATTAGCTGGGCATGGTGGCGCATGCCTGTAATCCCAGCTACTCAGGAGGCTGAGGCAGGAGAATTGCCTGAACCCAGGAGGCGGAGGTTGCGGTGAGCCGAGATCGCGCCATTGCACTCCAGCCTGGGTAACATGAGTGAAACTCCGTCTCAAAAAAAAAAAAAAACACTTCACCTTACAATGAGTTATTTTGAAATTCCAAAAAATTTCTCTGTATCCCAGAAATAGAAAATGGTTGTTCACTAAAAATCCTCTTCTTTTCCTGCTTATAAATTTGCCAGTTTTACCATTTTAAATCACCTTTCTTACATTTCTCTGAATAATATGTTAAGTAATTTGTCAGTTTCACAGGTTTTATAATCTATTGTTAGGTAATTGCTGAATTGTTGCAGGCGTTTAAAAAATTTTTTTAAATACGCTAGCACTATTCCCAGTTCTTAAATCTGATTTACAAAGCATTGAATTACTTAATCCTGGCACTTTTCCATTAACCTTACTTTGTCTTACTACCTTTTACAAAAGACTTAATATATTTTCCAAGCTATTGTGTTAATTTTTTTAATGGAATTTTAATGCCTAAAAAGATCATATGTTGGCCAGGCAGGATGGCTGAGGCCTGTAATCCCAGCACTTTGGGAGGCCGAGGTGGACGGATCATCTGAGGTCAGGAGTTCAAGACCAGCCTGGTCAACATGGTGAAGCCTTGGCTCTATTAAAAATACAAAAATTAGAGCCGGGCACAGTGGCTCAGGCCTGTAATCCCACCACTTTGGGAGGCTGAGTTGGGCGGATCACGAGTTCAAGAAATCGAGACCATCCTGGCCAACATAGTGACACCCCATTTCTTAAAAAAAAAAAAAAAAAAAAAAAAATACAAGAATTAGCTGGGTTTGGTGGTGGGTGGCTGTAATCCCAGCTACTTGGGAGACTGAGTAAGAGAGTTGCCTGAACCCAGGAGGCAGAGGTTGCAGCGAGTCAAAATCACTGCACTGCAGTCCAGCCTCGGCTACAGAACGAGACTCCATCTCA